TTAATCACAACAAAAATGTCTCCACCTGGTCACATATGAGACCATAAAATATCACCAATTAAAAGAGCATTTCTCCCCAGGAACTCCGTTCCAGAAAGGAAGTAGAAATCCACAAAGGTACTCATTACACTTAATACCTTCATTACCATCTAATTTTTTAGACCACATTATGAACTCCACCATTAAATGCAAGTATTGCAGACCAGTTTCAATTAAGATTATAATCACTTGTTGACATTCAGTCAAACTCCTCAATTTGTTTTTGGTTTTAAAAACACAATATAATACTTGTACAGTCTGCAGGCAGGAAAACCATATGTTTCCCCTCTAAGTACAGTTTTAACAATGCAAGTTATTCATTGAATGAATCAATGTGCCTAAAAAAAATTAAAAGACAAAATTGAAACCTTCAGTTTTTACATTCATAACTGATGTTATCATAAGTGATTAGAAGATCACATTACTGCACAAGTCATGTTCATTTGCCTTAATTCAAAGTGCCAATGTGAAAACTTTAGTCCATTTAATCAACCTCTTCCTATTTCCCATTTAAAACTAATTATCTTAAATGACCCATTAAACAATTCTGAATGCAATGAAGAGAGAAATGGCTGAAAAATATTAAATTAGACAAGAAGGAAATACACTGGTTTATTTCCTTGTTAAAGCAGTCACCTTTTCAAGGGCAGAAGGAGTAACTTTGCTTTCAGCCTTTGACCTTCACATGTACGAGAGGTGACACTTCCACGCCCCCACAGCAGACAAGGTTCACTCCCTGTGTAGGGGAACCATTTCACAGGGCTGGGCAACTTTTGTCACGAGCCATTCAGAAATGGTCTCTGTATTTAGGCCTCTCAACAGACAGAACAGCAATCACAGAACAATGACGTGCTTGATAAGACACCAAAAGTTACCTGGCATGCTGCATGAGGAAGAAGCAGTTCTCTGGCCAAAGGCTTTTTACAGCCAGGGGATTTTTATTTATTTATTGTACACTGTCACCCAGTGCCATGGTGTAACCCCAGCCAGCAATGAAGCCCAACACAGCCACTCACTCAATCCCCCACAGTGGGATGGGGGAGCAAATCAGAAGGGTAAGAGTGAGAAAATCCAGGGGTTGACAAAGACAGTTGAATAGGTAAAGCAAAAGCCACAAGCAAAGCAAAACAAGGGATTCACCCACCACCTCCCACGGGCAGGCAGGTGTGCAGTCATCTTCAGGAAAGCCAGGCTCCATCACGTGTGGCAGTGACTTAGGAAAACACACACCACCACTCCCAACACCCCCCTTTTTCTTCCCCCAGCTTTATATGCTGAGCGTGACATCATATGACATGAAAAGTCCCTTTGGTCAGTTGGGGTCAGCTGTCCCAGCTGTGTCCCCTCCCAGCTTCTTGTGCACCCCCAACCTCCTCTCTGGTGGGGTGAGGAGCAGAAAGGCCTTGAGTCTGTGTGAGCACTGCTCAGCAATGGCTAAAACACCCCTGAATTATCAACACAGTTTCCAGCACGAATCCAAAACAAAACCCCATACCAGCTACTATGACGAAAATTAACTCTTCCTAAACCAGCATGCCCTGTTTGCTGTACTTTACTACAATTAAAATCTATTAGGTAGGCTAATGTTTCATAGTATTAAGTCAAAATCAGCAGTAAAGTTTTCAACTCCTTGGTCTCCTTTCACCTACTGACTCTCCCCTGTTTAAAGCTTATGCTGATTTCAAACTTTCTTCCTTGCCATTCTGTGATTCTGTGATTCCTTTTTTCCTAATACCTCCTTTGGAGGGAGCAGACAAGTCTTCCCAACACTCAATGACCAAAATCTGCATTTTATTGTTTTATCAGAAGGCAACATACCTCTGTGGGCATTCATTCTGTGCCTCTCCCCAGAAAACATGCCTGGGCTTTTCACCTAGTCCAGGAGACTTTGGGAAAAGAACTCATAAAGGAAAAACTCCTAAAGGCTCATGGTGCAGCATGGCTATTGCTGAACGGCAACTGGCTAGCTACTGATTTCCAAGTCCATTTCTCTTACAGAAACTCTCTTTAGAAGTTCTTACACTTTGGATGGGCAAACCAAAGCCTTATGGGAGAAGCAGGGATCACTCATGTCACCATTAAACCAATGGAAAACTTTCCAAATACCAAAAGCAGAAATAAGCTTAGTAACTTCCTCAGCCATACTGGAGGAGTAATGAGGAAGTACAGCAAGCTAGCCTGTCAAATCACTTCAAAAAGCAAAGACTAGAAGGGCTGGAAACCACGGATCCTGCTATTAATTACCCTGCTACCAGGCTGCACAAAAAAAAAAAAAAAAAAGAAAGAAAAACACACTCTCCTCATCATGCTGTGTGACCACGAGGACCAGGCTAGAGACCTGAAAGTGAGCAGAGACAGCAGCCAAGTTCACTAAACGGAAGTGTCCGACTACTACAGAGGAAATTGTTTACTTTAAAGGAGAACAGGAAAAAAGTTATCCCTGTGTGCACTGTAATTAAAAGCCCATCACCACAAAGCACTCAGAGGTGCTCCGCATTCTGATTAACTTTTACCTCCGTTATGAAAAACAAAAGAGACCAGAAGTCACTATCTCATTTTTTGTTGTTTCATGCAGACTTCAGTACAAGACACAAGCTGCCTGAATTTCTAAGAAGCAAGCAGGTCTGAATTTAAGTGAGCTTCTGGATACTTACAGTACAGAAAGCAAGTGATATGCTGAGCATCTCCAGCTCAAGAAGGAGTACCCAGCTACATATTTAATTTTAAGAATTTGTACTTGCCTTAGTGCCATTTCCCATAAAGAGGTGGAAGTGTTCCTCTGTTCTCAAAGGGAGAATACAAAATCCTCGTTATTTTTCAGTAACTATATAGTTTAACGGAAGCTGGAACAAGCTGCCTTCAAGACTAATTGAACAGGAATAGCTTACCACAAAAATCTAATTAGCTAATGCAGAAGGGTGTAAACCAGGAATAAAGGGCTGGCTTTCAGGAAGCACAACCCCTGGAATTTGGTGAGGCTCTGCAGCCTACAGCAACAGAGTTTGTTTTGTCCCAAAGACACAGACCTACATTGAGGAATAGTATCACTTAAAAAAAAATATCAACACAAGTCACATGAAAAGGTAAGAACAGTCACAAACATTTTCATTTTGAAGAGAAAAAGGAAGCAACACCACCACTTGCATTATGAAAACAGCCTCATCAGCACTAGTGAAACTGTGATGTTAAAAAGTTTAGGTACTCAGCTCCTGCTCTATAATGAATACACAGTGGTTGGAATTGCATCCATCTCGTGTCTCTTTTATTCACCCAGATGCAATTCCTCAACCCAAATTGAAGTTAATTCCTGGACAGCAGTAACAGCACCCCAGTTCACGTCAACATAACACAACTATTATTAAGTGGTCTTCCCTTTAGATTACTATAAACTAGTTTTATTCTTCAGCTACAAAATATCCTATTACCCACAGACAAATTGCTGTGAAGCCCACCTACAGC